GACAACGGTCGACGATCCACGGTCATCCGTGCTGACTAGAAATCCTGGGTCCGCCACTGGATTTATATACATATGATTTGGTGAGATGATTGAAATTTCTTCAACCAAATAAAAAAGCAAATTTTTCCCCTTCTCTTTTTGACATCCCATCTGTATATAAACAATTATTTAACTGCTTATGTACAAGTAGTATTATTCAATCCTTCTTCCCATTGTAGAGGATGTTGCCCTATCATAGGATTCTCTCTTAAAGTATGAGGTTCCGATCTGGGAGATTGTACTTCAAAATTAGATTCATCATTCTTTTTGAAAATTATAATATTGTTAAATAAATTAAACTCTTAAGAAATGTGAACTAACGTCAGACAATATTAAATCTATTTTATTGAAACAAAAACAATTATGACATCGGATTTGGTCATTACATTCATTTTCTAATTAACTTGTTTCCTCGGCTGATGTTATGTTTATTTCATATTTTTTCCTGTTCGAATTTGAATTTGTTTCAGGTTTGTATACTCGGGTTTTTGTGGGTTATGGCAGGTTTTTTCACGTGGAAGACATTCGATTTTAGAGTTCTCTCGACTCTTGTGAAAATCTTTCTATTGTTGATTATGGGAGGATCTCTTACCTACTCGGCTCAAAGTGATATTGACTGCCTCAGAGCTATAAAAGATTCTTTGGAAGACCAGAACGGCTACCTCACAACATGGAACTTCAATAACAAGTCTGAAGGTTTTATATGTTCTTTTATTGGAATCGATTGTTGGCATCCGGACGAGAACAGGGTCTTGAATATTAAGCTTGGGGATATGGAACTTAAGGGCGAGTTTCCTCTTGGCGTTGCAGGTTGTTCATCCTTGACAGGTTTAGATCTTTCTAATAACAAGATTTATGGAAATATTCCAAGTAATATCTCTATGTTACTTGTATATGTGACATTCCTTGATCTCTCGTCCAACCAGTTATCCGGAGAGATCCCTGTCGATCTTGCAAATTGCACTTATTTGAATATCCTTGAACTTGACAACAACCAGTTGTCAGGCCAAATCCCTGCTCAGATTGGTCTACTCTCTCGAATGACAAAGTTTAACGTGGCTAACAACCGATTGACTGGTCAAGTTCCACAATTCAGTAATGCTACTGTTCCGCCAGATAACTATGTGAATAATGCAGGACTATGTGGCAAACCTTTACCCCCTTGCGGAGTTTCTTCAAAGAAAACCAATATTGCAGTCATTGTTGGGGCGACTTTTGCAGCCTCCGCTGTTGGAATTGGCATTTGGATAGGCATGTTCTTCTATTTGCGTAAGGCGTCCAGAAAGAAGAAAGAAGGAAGAAGGTCCTTTGGGCAACAAATGGGCAACAAATGGGCAAAGAGTATCAAGAATGCCAAAGCCATCAAGGCAAGATACATTTACGTTTTACCCTGGTTTGAGCCAAATTATTGTAGAATGAGAATGAAAAATATAGTCGTTATTGAGGCCCACACAAGAGATAGAAAATTTGAATTTAAATATTGATGTGATGGATAACGGTCATAGTTTTCATTTTAATGAGATAATAAGGTGGCTCAATAACGGTCATATTTTTCATTTTAAATGTTGAGTGTTATTTTTCCCTCAGTTACAATCAAAAGGCGGGGGGCAAAAATAACCCTTAAACATGTTATCGTGAGCAAAGTACGTGACTATGTGATGGAATAGGAATACTTGATAGTTTCCTCCCCATTGACCAATGTGCACCAAAAATTGAATTTTAGGAACCTTAACGGCAAAAATGATAAATCACATTGGGGAGCGGTGTGCTTTATTTGTCAAAATTTAAGGACTGCATATTTCCCTAAATTATTTTGCTGTATTTCATACTTTTGGTGTCGCTTCCTAGCTCCATGAATTTTGCTTCTCGTAATTATATTTTCCTTGCAAGGAATCACAAATAGTCATTTTCTTGATTTCAGTTTTCGATGTTTGAGAACTCAGTTTCTGAAATTAAATTGAGTGATCTCATGAAGGTGACTAATGACTTCAGTAAAGGGAATATAATTGGGTTAGGAAGAACTGGAACAATGTACAAGGCAGTACTTGAAGATGGCACATGCCTCATCGTGAAGAGATTGCAGGGTATTCGATACTCAAACAGCGAATTTTCGTCTCAGATGGCTACACTAGCAAATGTAAAACACAACAACTTGGTTCCACTTCTAGGATTCTGCACGACTAAGGAGGAGAGACTTTTAGTGTACAGGCACATGTCCAACGGCAGCCTCCATGATAAACTACACTTGAAAGACGGGAACGAACCTATGGATTGGCTTTTAAGGCTCAAAATTGCAATTGGGACAGCGAAAGGATTAGCGTGGCTACACCACATCTGCAATCCTCATATTATCCACCGAAACATAAGTTCCAACTGCATCTTACTGGATGTTGATT